GCATGCGCTATGGTATCTATAGAGCTCTACAGATACCATAGCGCATGCGCATATGGCTTCTGCCTTCTGCTTATGGCTCCTGCAATTTTATGTGCTTCCACCTTTACACTCTTTTTCCCTCCCTCCCTTCTTCGCCCTCTACCCATGGTGGAAATATACATGGTGTGCTCAGTATTGGTCTGTCTTTTTCTAAAATCTCCCGGCTCTCTCTTTTCTTGTCGCCGAAAAACACAGGCTTCCATCAACAAAATATCCCTAGAATAGTGGGTATTTTGTGTTGTTATGATGCAGAATTCACTGCTCATCACACGATCACACTAAAATATTTGGCCATTATTCGTAACAGTAATAAATATAATATGCAATAAATGTATATAATAATGAAAGTAAAAAACAGAAAAGAAAGATTTATTTTAATATACTGTCGATTAATTTTTTATATCTATTTTTTTTTAAATAAAGACTATTGTTTATTAAAGACATTGTAAATTATTCATCATAGCTGATCCACAATGTCTCGGTAGCTTTTTCTTCGAATGTAGGCTTGCATTATTCATATTACATATATGTACGTTAAATTTTTTTTATTTACTTGTTTTCACGATTATTTTGTGATTAATTTACATAATTAATAATACTTTTTTAAAATAATTTTTTACTTACAATTAATTATTAGATAACTTAGTCAATGCGATAAACTGGCTTCTAGTACTTTCTTTTATATTTACTAAATAAAAAATCATTCTTTTCTATGTTCAGACCGAATTTACTGAAGCTGTTGAGTTGGAACAAGTGGATAAGAAAATCAATATTGTCAGTCCAGAATGTGATGCGCAAAATGCTTGTCTATCAGCAAAACCGAAGCTGCCAAAGATATTGCATATCGACTGTCACATAACTGCCAAGTTATATATTTGCCACCTGGTCGAGGTATATTAATGAACTTGCAGGAGTTAAGGATTAATAAAAGGTATCTCTAAAAGTAAAGCTGACAGAAGGTTATTAATGTTTATTTAATATATAATGTGTTTAATTTGAAATATACACACATTAATTGTTACAAGGTAACAATTAATCATATAAAACATAACAAGTTTCTTATATTTATGTAAATTTTCTTTTTGTCGGAAGAACGTTCATTTTTTTTAATGTTTTATCTTTTTGTTTTTCTTTCTTGCGTGTGTCTTTTTGCCAATTTCTTTAACTCGAATGTATGTGCGAGTTCTAACAAGGCATTTTAACACCTCCTCAGGTACCCAATTGGCGTTGTATCCAAAGCTCTTAACAAGAGTGACCACTTTTCTGACGACATACTCTTCTTTTGAGAAACTGTCCCCATGAAACTGTCCCCAATACAAAACAATCCTCCACAACTTTACTAAGCTTCATCAATTCCTTTGACGGAATGATGAGGTACCCTTTCGAGACTGTTTGGACCCAGTCACATTCATCGTGGCTAGAATTGTAAGTGTAATCGCCAGTGGCCTCTCCTAGAAATGGGTACTTCGACCTGAATCGATGAGCTACATACCCCGCAACGTATTTCAGTCCTGCCATTTAGACTATGTCCGAGCTGTTGGCACAGCCGTGCGGTTTCTTTTCTTTTCTTCGTGTAACAATGAGTGGAAACTATTTTGCATGAATTTCCATAATTCGTTGCAGTCTTCAATTTTTATTTCTACAGCTTGTTCCGTTACGTCGAAGTTGTCTTCTGTACAATTGTCACCTTTGTCACGGGCGGAATCGTCTAATATGTCTTCGGATGTTATATTTATAATATTGTTGAATAACTCCTCTGTTAAAATTATTTCTTTTTGAAAGTTATTATCGTCATATTTAGAAGTGTTCTCAACAACATTCCCATCTGTAAAGTTCGGTGCGTGAAGTCTGATTACGAAGCGTAATCATCAACTGATCACCTGATCCATTTTTTATTTTCCAATAAACACCGAATTTGTCCCTCTGTAAAATAGGGGTTCAGTACCGCTTTCATCTTTTCAGAAACACGTACTGTTAGAACCGCTTTTTTTTTCGCGTTTTGCCGCTTCTAATTGTTCGTTAAGTTCGACAATGGACGTCTTCAGTTGGATATTTTCAGCAAGAATGGTCTTTACGTACTGTTCCCGCTCTGCTAGTTGCAATGTCAGTGATTTATTTTTTATTTCAAGACTGTTCAATTCCTGCATACACTTTTCTACTGAACTTGCATGAAATTCGTCTAGAGATCTGTGATGTTTTAAGTCAGCTTTCAACCACAATGGTCTTATGTGGATCCTCTTCTTTGCTTGCCGTGTTGCCAGGAACATTGCTGATAATGTTTTCGTCCATATATCTGAAAACATTTTTACGTAATTAAGATATTTCTTTAAATTACTTCAAAAATGAATATTATACTTTTCAACATGTCATTTGAAACTATTATGCTTTTAAAACGGAAACTTAAGTCACTTTTTTTAAAGTGGCGATAAATAATAAATATCAATGCAATTACAAATTAATCATTACTACATATTGCACCATAAATAGGCAGTAAAGTATTTCACTCACCAACGTTGACGTTTCAATGGTGGACTTTCTTGTTCACTATTATATGCTGCCTCGTGAACTTTCGTCTTCGAAGTAAATCGTTTACTCCTCGATCTTACTGTGCGACGTAACGAAAGTGTACTACACTTATGTAGTACTACCTTCTTCTTTTTGGATCTACAAAATAAGTACATATATAAGGTCGTTAAAGAATTTCCTAACTTGTCACTGTAAAACTTAATTATTGTATTGTTAAAACTAAACAAAAATTAACAGATATAAACAAATCGTTGTGCAATGCATTAAAATGGATTTGCTGAAAAATTTGTTAAAAATTTTCCATCTATGCGTACGAGTGTGTTACCTCACGAATAAATTTTACCAACTTTGCTGGAAAACTACAGTTCATAGAGGATACTTCCTGAACATCTTTGTCACTGTTGGTTGGTTCCTGGCAACGATTACTGAAAAAACATATAGAAAATAATGTTACAATTAATGTACACCAAACTTATAGTAATGACGTATGGGAAAATTTCAAAAGAATCGAAATATCTTTAAATGGCTCACTTGAGTCGAATGTATATTACACAACTGTAGGAATTACATTACTTATAGTGGAAAAAAATAACTTGAATACAAGATATATCCTCCAAATGTGGTACACTTGTATTTTAATACATACCTAGTAGATACTGATGTTAATGTTTCATGGCAACTCGTTGAGTCTATCATCAACAGATCCAAATTTTGTAAGTGCTTAGTGACTCCTGCGGGGGATGGTACTGGGGTCGAAGATCGTATCGAAGTATTAGTGCTCGTGGATGGGCAAACCAAATAAAACTCCCGCCTTATCACCTTCATATTATCTTCTTCACGAGATGCTCTAAAAGAAGAAAAAAGTTATTGTAATTTCATATACATACTACAGAAAAACTACAATTGCTAGCTTTGTAATTTTAATAAATATCAGAGCAATAAAAATGATTGTTATATTTCGTCTAATAATTCATAAATAATATATTATAGCACTATATATTATTAACGATATAGAGTTATGGTTAAAAAAGGACTATATTGATTTTTCCTTCTTAACTTACTGTTCATTTAATGGCAGCAGATATAATGTAGGTATAGTGGATGGTAAAAAATTCCGCCTTTTTTAAATCTTTTCTGCCGCAGCTCTCTTTCTCTTCGGCTGAACAAATGACTCTGGCGTAAAGTGCATTGAACAAATTCTTGCTGTAATAACAAAAAATCGTAATGTATTTTGTTGATGTATGAACATCACCTTTAATTTACTTCAAATAAGCATAGACATTTACATATATTATTATATGTAACCTGGGTACCCTTATATGGGTACCTAAGTCGTCTACAGACGATTCCGAGTCTCGACATCGAAC